AAGCAGACCTTCTACCAAAGCAGAGCATTGACGCTCCCTAGCACACAGCTTTTAAACATGGATGCTTGAAACTGCATTCCAGACAGAAGGAAACCAAATCTCAGGGCTGACATACAAGTATACGTCTTTTAACTTGTTCCCTCCCCATTTGGAATGGGAACACGCAATAAATTCATCTGTGTATCAGCAACAAAGACTACATTTAGTTTGAAACTTAGTTTTTAAACATAGATAACTGAAAATGATTGGAGGAATGTTGAATTGATAAGGTCTGGATATCAAGTTATTAACCACATTGATAACAGATGGCAGAAAAGCCTGCCTTTCTCTTGATAATATGCATAGTAGGTGTTTGAATGAATGTTGCAGGTCAAGTTCTTTTAGGAGGGAAAGATAGATTACAGAGTTTGCCTATAACTGGTCTGGCAGAAATGAAGACATCCTAAAGAGATACTTGTATATCAATCTGACGATCAGCCAACTACCACAATGGAACAGAAGAAATGCTGGGAGAAGGAAAAGGCACAGCCAGAAGAGAAACTTGTCTCCAGGAAAGCAGTTTTACACAGTTCTTGCACCTTCTTAGTTTACTCTGCAGGATGAGACTAAATACCTAACAATAATGGGTAGGACTGCACATTAACCAGGACTGCTAAGCGCTCACCTATCTCCCTGGCCTTCCAATTAATTATCACTCTGACTTCAGGACCCTAAAGACTGGGAGAGCAAATGGATCTTTGTCCCTCTTCCCAGTGTGGCTATATTGAATAAATCTTTTTCTGCTCTTCGTTATCAATGTGGTTGTTTTAATTGGCTTCCTGAGAAGGGATTGCTGGTGTAGACTGTGACCCTTGAAGCTTGGTAACATGAAGGAAAAGTTGTTTAATTTCTAGGTGTAACACTCGATTCTTCTGTTGTTCAAGAAGGACCTAGCGCTGCCAAGCCAAGTAGTTAGTTTTACTTTCACTTGTTTTATGCTGAACAATGAACACTTTCAAAACCTTGCATAAAGCAGGTACTGTGCAAATAAACCATAGACGTGTATTCGTTTCTCTTAATTTTTTTTTCTCTAGCATTCCTTATGTTTATTTGCTTTCTTGGGTTTTGTTTTCTGTTCTGGGAATGGAACCACTGTGTTTTAGGCAAGAGCTTAACCTCTGAGCTTCATCCCTAGATGCTAATAAATATGAACAACCCCTTCATTGCACAATTGTATCCATTCTTGTTTCAACCACTCATCATATATTTTAAAGACTTTATATAAGCATTTGCTCCCAAATTGTAACAAAAATATAGATACTCAAAATCAGCCTTAATGAGATGGTTGACATCCTTGTCATCCTAGTATTTGAATTAAATTCATTTCTTATTTTTCTTCAAGCTAAAATGTGTTAGAAAGGTGTAATGGCAGATTCCTGACTATGTCGGGGTATTAAAGCTGTAAGAAAGACACTCGTAAGGAGCTTACATTCTGATTGGGGAAAAAATAGGCAAATAAACAAAAAGTTACATGTCTACAATAAAAATTTGGTAAGTTGTTGAAATATTCTGGGGTGTGTAGGCCTTCTTGGAATCTGCCTTCTTTAGGTAAGGGGCTGTAAAGAGCCTAGTCCCAGGATCAGGAATGAAGTTCTGGCAAATTGAATACTTGAGCCAAGGTAAGTGAGAAATGAAACCATGGGTTCCCTGTCACCCACTTTATATCCCCTTAGATTTCACTCTGACTGCATGCCCAAGCCTAGGATTTAACAAGGACTTGGTGATTTGTAACTGGATGAGTGGAAGATTGACAGGTGGCATGCCTACCATGTTTGTGAACAGAAACTTAAAGATAGAAAGACTTCTCTTGCCATGAGTCTGAATGCTTACTTTAGACTGCGCTGTGAAGCTGATAGTGACCTTTTAATTATAAGGAGCCAGTCCTGCCCAGGATGAGCATTAGAGATGACACCAGGGTTAAAGAACCTGCTCTCTCTGTTGTAGATTTGCATCTGGAGAGCATCCACCTCAGTTTCCAGTTTCTTGGGTCTCTTGACAATGAACTGTGCAGAGAGAGACACATGAACAGTTACAAGAAAGGAGACCATTTACTACAGGAGAAATTGGGGCCGGGGGCCTCGGAAGTGTGCCAGACTTTGCGGTGTTCTGGTGCTGGGAGAAGAAAAGGAAGAAGACGCAGGGTGGTGAGACCACATGACCTCCTATGGGTAATTTGCATGGTTCTGACAGTGCTCTCTTTATTGAATGAAGTCCACAAAGACTGAGAGCTTCCGGCCTTTCCTATCTCCTCCACTTTGTCCCTTATTCTTTCTGTCAGATGGCTCTTGGTCACCTTGTTTGAGGAGCAGGGCAAAGACACAGCCTGTCGTATGATGCCTGATGAGGAAAGTGCTGTGAAATATTTCAACTTTTGAAGGTTTTGATGCTTATTAGATCCCCAAAAGACCTGAAGCAAGCAGAAACAGCAATTACTTTCTAACTTAACTATAAGGGCCTCGTTAAAATGTAAGCTGCGATGTGGTAGGTCTGCATTTCTCAAAGAGAACCTGGTACCACATTCTTGCTGGGCCTGAACCCATGGTAAGCACTGAAAATGAAGGTAATTATGTGTTTTGAGTGTGAAGTTAAGGACACGGAAAAAGAGGAGGACGCCAAAAAGCAGTTGAAGTGAGGAAGACTGAGCCAGGGAGGATGTTGGATACGGAGGGAGAAACAGAATATGTAATAGAAAAAGAAAGTACTTAAGGCAAGTGGGAATGTGTCAGAGGCTGTGTGGTAAAAACGGAGAACAGATATGCGAGCTTGGGTTTAGCTTGAAATAACAAGAGACCATCAATAGAGCAGGTTAAGCCGGTTGCAGCTCTGATGATGTCACACATTCACCACGGAGTGACCTTAAAGTCTCACCATTCTTCATGATCCTTCATTTGCATGGCCACCACCAACGCCTTATGGGAATTTTCTACTGCCTATAGGATCCCTTGCCTATGGACTCGCCCTACATATTCAAGGCCACACCAGAATGTTTTTACATCAAACTTGTAAACCAATAATATCAGCTTATCTGTCTTTGTTCAAACTGACCAGCCCTAAATTAGGGCAGAGAGACCACCCCAAAGACACATAAAACCCCCAGTCCTCAAGGAAAGACCTGGTTTTGGCTGTCTGAGTACCAGCTGCGCTTTGCAGAGAGTCATTTCTCTGTGTGCTCGATATATATATATATATATATATATATATATATATATATATATATATA